CTAGGTCAGGAAGAGCGAGAAATTTTGTTGGAGTTTTGATTATTTTATTGGAGTTCTGAGTAGCACCTCAAGAGTTCTAACGATAATTATTAAGGTTCGAAGCGCTCAGACCAATATATAAAAAGTTCTCGCAATTTTTTGTATCACCGATTGAAAATTTTCTAGGTCAGGAAAAGCGAGAAATTTTGTTGGAGTTTTGATTATTTTATTGGAGTTCTGAGTAGCACCTCAAGAGTTCTAACGATAATTATTAAAGTTCGAAGCGCTCAGACCAATATATAAAAAGTTCTCGCTATTTTTTGTATCACCAATCGAAAATTTTTGAAGTCCCGAAGAGTGAGAAATTTTGTTGGAGTTTTGATTATTTTATTAGAGTTCCGGGTAGCACCTCAAGAGTTCTAACGATAATTATTAAGGTTCAAAGCGCTCAGACCAATATATAACAAGTTCTCGCTATTTTTCGTATCACCGATTAAGAAAATATTCTAAGATCCAATAAGAATAAAATTTTTTTGGAATTTTATTTTTTCGTTGGAGTTCTGGGTAGCACCTCAAGAGTTCTACAAATAATTCTAATGATATTTTTAATTATTTCCGACGATTAAGCTGTTATCGTCAATTTTTGTGATAACGTTTTGTGAAGTTAGCACCCCATACTTTCAATAATTGATTTTTGTCCAATTCGCCGGAACTATTTATAAATTTATGGAGAGCTCTAGAACTCTTTGGGGTGCATTCAGAACTCTAAAAAAAATTGATTTTTTTAAAAATGGGGTGCCAACTTCACAGAGATGAGCGATGATGCTCGCAGCAGCACCAACGGCAGCACCTTAAAGCCTGTACCACCGGTGATGGTAATGATAACGAGAATGATAACGCTTACAATACCGACAATCGCCGGAACTATCGTACGACTAGGATACTATGAGTAATGTTAAAGCACTGCTTAAATTCAACGTGAGAGATGCCGGTGCTAAATAATCGAATAAATGTACTTTGGAATATTTATATAATATCACAAAATAATTATTGTTATAAAATTCTTTTTGACAAATCGATTTTTTTTTCAACAAAAATATCAAGGCAGTTTATGTTCGTTATTAAATTCAAGAAATATTCGAACCGATTGTATCGGTTATTAATTTATGACAATACTATGTATACGTCACGGTGAAATACGTTCTACTGTAACGATAAGAAAAATTGCGCAAAACATACAACTTGCATATCGCAAAAATTATTTCTTTCTCTTTTTTATAGGATCGCATACGTTCCCTCATTATCGCGACGCCGATTAAATGTTTTACTGCGGGCAACGAAGCGTTTCGCATCGCGCGTGCATCGTCGGCGATGCTTGAAAAAGAAGTGCACGAAGGACAACGACGATCACGTACAATCGTAATTCCCTGCTCGAACACGAGATTGTAAACCTCGTTTCCAAGAACGTAGCATGAAGGAAATATTGTGGATTCATTAAAAGACGTGGAGTTATCTATAAACCTCAATTATTTTTCATCTGACGGAAATAATATTGAATCGTCTTTCAATGTAATATAATACAAATTCTATCAAAGCTAATAGCTTTCTGTATTCACCAATTTTTTATTATATTTGAGGCTCTTTCCTCTGCAAAATTTTGATAAATTTTTATGAAAGTCTATAACTTTTCAATTTCCAACAAAAATATAACGATAAAAAAATACAAACTATAATATAGACTACGTTATTTTTGTTCGATTAAAATAGATAAATCTATCGTCGGTGCAGGAAACTTTTAAATTTTATAATTAATTCATGTAATTTCTAAATTAAATTATATTATTTTGTATTTTCCATTCTAGCGTATCAACGTAATCGACCGACGTAATTGTAAACGATCACGTAAATAATTTCTTATGCAATTACGAGAAATGCAAAAGCTACTATGGATGGCATTGAATGTATGAAGCCCGCAAGGTGAGTGATATTAATGTAAGCGTGAGAGTATGAATTAATTAATGCTGCAATACGCAGTAGATAAAGCCACTACATTCATTATCATATTAAATCCAGATGTTCTGATATCAGACATAATAATACCAGATGTTCAGAACATCAATATATTTAACATGTTTAAAAATTGACTTAATAACACGAGTTAGTAACAGATTGACAATTTTGTATATTTAAATGTATACATTTATATTTGATATAAAGTAATCAAGGAACAATTAACGATTCATTAAAAATGTAGATTTTACGCCAAATCAATGAATTTATAAATAATTAATTGAGTTATGGGGTGCCATATATTTTATGCATCCAATATAAATAGTTTGCTTTAAAAAATGCAGCTTTAAATGCTAAATCATTTCTAGATAAGAACACTGTACCATATTTACAGCTTATGCCATCGAGGTGAATACAATATAACTTCTCTAAATAGTCTAATTACGTCACCGGAACTCGATCGAGTTGCTCTGTAGGAAACGCATGCGCTTTTACAATTAACACAAAACCGAGTAAAATAATAAATTTCTCCGTGAAATAAATTTATCAAATGCAGTTATATATTACGCATAACATGTAACAGTATCACGAAACAATTCACGATTTACGCATGTCCCGTAACTACAATTTACGATAATGCGATGCCAAATTCAAGCGTGATTCCGCACAGATTTTCCGCGCGAAAAAAACAGCTAACTTAAAAATTGAACGAGGATTTTTTCGGCTGCGCGATGCTGAATTGCGCAGTGGCGTCGCGCGTGGGCGACGCAAAAGCCCGCGGTGGCGTCGCGACAAGCAAACGTCGCGACGCGTTATAAATTACGATCGTCTCGGAGAGAACGAGTGCACGACCCGGTTTCGTCGCGTCGCCGGCGAGAGAGAACGAAAGCGTACACACGCATACGCACGACGACGGTACACTGCCGCGCCGTGAAACATTACATACGTGTGCATATAAGGCATTTCTCGCGTAATATAGATTGAACGTGTGCGACGAACGAAAACGCAACCGACGGAGGCGTCGCGGTGCCGCTCCGTGGCGTCACGATGCCAACAGAAGACGCAACGAGACATGCGAAAAGATCTGGAGTAAAACTCACCGGTGCTACGCGTTGTGCGGGCTCTGTCAACTGCGCAGTTCACGGGCTAAAAGGCTCTCAGCAGGGACGTGATGCGCGAGGCTCGCGCCCGCGAATCGCAGCGATGCAAGCGCGAAGGTGAGCGCTGGCGTCACCGCACGGCGCGTCGCGAAAGCGCATCGCCATTTTGATAATGCTCTGACTTTTACTTAACCCTTCCATTCCGAATAATCACGATTGAATAGCAGTAATAATCACGTGTATACGCGATGTTTAACGCATTCAAACGGACGCCCGACACTTCACGAGAGAATCAATCTTCACGCACTTTGATTCACTTCTAAGCAGTAACGATCGCGTGAAATATGGAAAGATTCGAATGCAATTTTGCAGCCACAGCGACGTTTTCATGACTAACTACTCTGAAGTTACCAAAATGCGAGATTGCGATTCTCGAAACAGCGAACCAATCACATCGCGGTAATTAAGTTTGTTCGTTTTAGTCGCACTTGTTGCACGTAACATAAAATGAGTATATATTCAGTCTTTACAAGCAGAAAGGAGCAAGAACAAATAACTAGAGACAGTAACATTAAAATAAAGTTACTATTTAGAACAGAAATAAAATGCAAAATGTTTTAGTAAATATTAAAAATGGCCATAACTGTAAATTATTACAAAGCATGATCAATGCAGATAATTAGACAATATTACATGCATACCTGACGATCGTGTATCTATTCCATTTTCGCTGCACTTCGATGAAAAAATAGCATCAATATATGAAGATGATTTCGATTGTAGAAACGGATACTGAAATTATGATATTGGCCTACAGTTGTTTAACGAACGTTCGATGCAAGAAACACTCACAATAACTTTTCGCGTGCAAGAATTCACTTTTAAACAATAAGAATCGCGAGAAATATGGAACGATCCGCCGCGACGCGTTCCGTAAATGACGCCAATCGAAATTGAAGAGCTATGATTCACTATGATTCTCGAAATATCGAAATTCGCTTCGGTCTGTCGCTCTTTACTCTATCTGCCGTATTGGTTGAAGGAACGTTGCTAGCGCACAGCGAATTTTTGAAGTACTACGCATAAACGACCTACAAAACTTTTCCGTCGACGCACAACGAACCACAATCACCATTTGAATTTATCGACTAACTGTGAAGTGAACTTGCGCCATCATCCGGCGAAAGACTGCACGCAGTGTTGCGATATGGGACCGGTTATATGCGCATGTGCGACTCTGCGCATGTGCGGTGATGGAGATCCAGTGCCGTTATATGTTGTGTGTTGACCGTATGGCGGGACGTTTTGACATGAGAAGGTTAGGTGACTACAAATAAGGTAAGATTTATTTATTTACAAGCATGGAATCTACAAAGCCAGCAGCTAAAAAACCAAGAAGTAGAAAATTTCAATCAATTTCAAAAAATTTAGAAATATTTTTAATGTAGCGGGGTAACGGTGCCTTGTTTAACTTGTATGAGACACTGTACTGACGCCGTATTACCGCACATGCGCATACAACCGGTCCCATATCGCAACACTGACTGCACGCACGAGCGAGGAGAACACCATCTATCGCGAAAAATGTCAAGCTATGTCAGGCGCCAGCTTGACCGTATGAACAAAACATCGGCCAACTAAACAGTAACCCCTCGCCTACCCGCTCCCTTCACCCCGCGACCTCTGTCAATGCGAGCTGGGGATTTTTCCAACTATCGGACAATCGGAATAATATGATTTGCACGAGCGAACGCGATTCTTCGATGCGAGATTAATCCAGCGCGCCCTCTTTACACAACATGGTGTAATCCCGCCGAGCGCGCACGTAAGACTCGTTTCTGATGGCAGGTTTGCGTCACGCGCGAACACATTGTCAGCGCTCGGCTGATCGTTGAAAAATCACAGACTCACCGTCTCGTTCTCCACGATGCACATTGGCTCCATTTCCATACTCGTGAACACGCCTCGAACACCGCAGCTCAGAAACAATAACACGGGGTGGTTCGCTCTCGCGATGGCGATCGTCCGTAACAGTTCGCGACGGCAACGTGTGTCTGTTTACAAACACTGCAAGGTCACACATCGGACCGCCACCTCCTCCTTCCGTTCCACCGTTCCCGCTCACTTCGGACCGCTGCTGAGTCGTGTTACGTCACGAGATTCGCGATCGTGGCGACAACGCTCGACGGATAGGTGAACTTTTCTTTGAAACACACGCGCGCAATTGATAAGACGACGTGATAATTGATTAGACGAGAATAAAAGCATGAGATAAATCGAATATTCTCGAAAACTGATAAAGATAATTAACAAGAGGTCAAAGTGCAAAATGAATTGTTTATTTCACACGAAATATTTCAATCCGATAATTCCGAGACACTCCGTAAAAAAGTTTACTGTATAAATCTTGCAATTTTAAAAAACAAATGAACTATTTGTTTTATTTTACATTCCGTAACTGTCTTGTTGGAAATTAAAGAAAATTACATAACTGATATCGGTTATCATTCGAAATGTTGAGTTGATAATTGCGCTAATTTTTCATACAATAAAAAAGCAAAAATTACAAATAAAAATTGATGAAATGGTCGAGAAGAAATTATTAGATTCCGAATACGAATGGATATTTCGAACTTTCACAAATGCTTTCAATGTCTACATAACGATGATGCATTTTATATTTTATGACAACACTTTAAATTTACGTCCAGAAAACTCTGGTAAGTTTAACGTAGAATAGACTGGAATAAAAATCAAATTTAGCAATGCGTGCATTTTTCTCAATTTTAGAAATTTCACTTTTGTCTTATACGATATTCATGACGATGCTGGATCTATTCGCGTACTGCGTTTATCAGTAATGAACACAGATTGTAAGCAAAAAGGAAATTTTTAATAAAAAGCATTAATGATGCAACATATGATAATCCACATGATAGGAGAAAGAAAAGGATAAAAATTATATAACTTTTGTAAAAAATATTCAAAACTTATATTTTAAGTCGTCTTAGTGAAAATTCTCAATGCAGAATTGTACAAGACGTTTAACCGTATTCTAAGTATCATAAGGGTAAAATGGGAGGGGTGGAGGGTAAAGGTATATGGTATATAATACAGTACTCTAGTCGTCATCTTTATGTGTTCCAAAAATATTCTAGTTCTCTCTCATTCTCTCTCCAAGCGTTTCTCTCCACGCATTCTCTCTCCCTTTCGCACTTTTTCTCTCTCCCATGGTATCTATTATATTTCTATCACTCAGTCACAAGCCACATACAAAGCCACACAAATATGCAAGTCGAGAAAGCAACGAATGCTCGCATGTACCTTCTTGAGCTAATCTAGTGATAATCGCACTCCCTCCTTCAACACTCTAAAGCGTTGAAGATACATACATTTTATTGTGATGTTACAAAAATCTAGCACAAAAATAATATATAGTGGAAGTACCTCATTGTAACCTTTTGTTCTTGCAATAACAAGTTTTACATTCTGATTCATTTCGTGCGATCGCCACAATCCGTTTCCTATTCATAGTAAATCATTTAGAAAGCAATAATGTAATTTAATTAAATTATCAGAACGTATACTCAAAACTGATCATTCTTTTTCACGTATATAATTATGACAATAATGATGGTTGAGACAAAAAAGGAACAATTACATAATCTTTTTTTTTCTTGTTCTATGACACAGGGTGGTCAAAAGCATAAAAAATATAATGCTTTACCAATGACTCGCCCCTCCCATGTTGTGGCAGTATTTATAAAAAAAAGAAGCTTGAAGCTTATACAATTATCGTTAAAACAAAATGTGTCAATCGGTGCAATCGAGAATATTAGATAGCAATTTCTAAATATGTAATCACAATAAAATAAAGCACGATGTCGAATAAGTGAAAAAAAATATAACTTTCATAGACCACCCAATTCACGGAGACGATTGGACGCTGCTCACTTATTTACAAACATCTATCAAGATGTGTATACATTAAACGAATGAAGAACAGACAACAACTGCGAGCTTTCGCTAATAAAGCTCTAAAGATGTACATTTTATAAGCAAATGTAGACGTGACATTCGTTAGCGTTTGATTTGCTTTCAGTCCGCTTTGCTTACATAATATTTTAAATAAATTTTAAAATATTTTAAATAAATTTTTAAATTAATTTGATTTCGCACTCGTTGTTCGTTCGTTATTTAATCGTTCATTATATACGCACCTTTTACTCTAGAGTTTTATAATTTATACTTATTCTGTACATGTACAACCGAAACTATCGCTAATGAATTTATAATGTATGTACATAATTTGGCGGCTTTTGCATGAAAATACTTAAAAATCCCGCGACACGCATAATATGATCACTACAGACCTATACTCAATAGCTGCATAGATTGTATTCCGTCGATAGTGACGTCATAAGAGTGGAAGAAGTTTCGCGGCTAATCCTCACTTGATCGTTCGTTCGTTCGTACGTACGAAAAGAGAAGCGTAATTATATAAATACCGAAAATTATATAAATACCCCGCCTGTTATCTTCAAATTAACAACCGACCATCGCTATTGTCCACAAAAGAATTGAGTTTCGCGCGATAATGCATGTAGTTTCTACCATTGCGTTTCTTCCTTGGATCTCAGCTTGTCCTCCTTGTTGAGATACAATCGTTGATATTCATCTTGATAAGTAACATACTGCGTGTTCGATTTACCAGGTTTTTGAATGGCACCACCGACCGGCGAGTTATTTGGGGAGTATTTCATCTCTTGTAACTCCTGCAATTCCTTCAATGATCTCATTACCATCTGGACGTCTTTCTCTTGTTCCGTCGGTTGCACCATGTTTCCAAGAGCGTCGTCCGTGATGAATCCGTCTTTCCGTTTATCCGTTAACCCTCGCGGCGAGGAATCATCGTTAATGATCTGGCTCAAGAAATTAGTCGCGGCGATCGTTTCCTCGTTTTGCCTTTGTTCCTGCTCCTCTTTCGAAAGAATATTTTGCTGCGGCATAGACACTACGTCTTGAGTAATAGGCCCTATTTGTTGCTCAATTATCTTTTGATCCTTCTTCCTTTTCTTCGCGTCGTGCGATGATTTGTGATGCTTCACCTCTAAGCAACGCTCCCTTCTCTTCTCCTTCTTATCAGTCTTATTGACCATCACATCGACATCTTTCTCGTCCAATCTTTTATCACATTTAGCGTCAGGATTTTCTTGCAAAAACCTATGTTTCAAAGCTTGCGCTGACGAATAGGAAGCATCTTGTCTGTACACGGAATGATGGCCAGCTTGGGAAATTTCGTTCGTCTTGGAGTGACTGACAGCAGGTTCCGGGCACGCTGTAATAGAAACCACATCCTTCTTTGCTTCGGTTGGTTTTGCCGATGTCTTGTGATACTCGTTAACCGGTGTTATAGACAGAGAGCTGTTTGTTAGGTCCATAAAATTGAATTTTTCAACGTGGCTCTTAGTTGGCTTCTGAGCCATTAGTTGAGCCGTAGGTACAACCGAAATTTTACCAACTGTGGAATTGTTGACGGTAACTGTAGCACTTTCTTGTTGTTGGCCTGCATTATTCTCCACGTGTTTGTCTTTATGTTTATTACTATGTTGCTTTCTATCGGTATTGACGTCGTTGGATTTCGTTTCATTTGCAAAGTTCGTCAAATTTCCGCCACCAATGATCTGTGTTTTCGATACGTTCGTATTTGTCCTTTCATTTTCGTGGGATACAACATTGTTTGCGTTTATTGCATCGTTCCTTGTAATAGAGTTGCAAACTTGAGTATTTCCAGAACTAGTAATATTATTTGCACTGGCCCCTTCTTTCGGTTTCTTCAATTTCTTCTTGATACTAAAATCATATTAATTATATGATTTAGCATATAAATATTTAGTAGAAAGCAATATATAAACATCAATACCAAAGTGCATAAATATGAGACAGGGAAAAGACAAGCTGTGCAATAAAAAATAGTGCAAAAGAAATTAACCGTGAGCATTTGATAATAAATTAATAACAAAAAAAAATTATATTAACCAAACATAAATACGTATAAATAATTTAAGCAATTTTTTCATGTGTACAAAAAAAAATAGCACATTCGTGAATCGTTGATCCAACATTAATATTAAATATTTGCACACAAATCAATATTATAATTTATTTACAAATGAAAAATTGAGTATCTGGAAGAATACAACTTTTCTAGGAATCCGTTAATGTTTTGAATGAAGGAGAAATCAGTATTAACCCAATCATGATCCACAATCAATCCTAGAACACACAATGAGCAAACAATTGAAGCAATTGGCCAACTACCTGCCGTAGTATGAAGACAACGTGCCTAATCTCTTGACCGTAATTTACAAAGAAGTTAATTTAATCAATCTTCAATCTTGCCCTTTAGGCATGCATGTGTACTCCTTTTACCTTGGTTAAAATAAGGCAACTACAGTACTGTAATTTCATGCGCAAAGCAAAGCAGAAAAAGGCGAATCTTCTTGTAACGAGTGTTACAAAACAGAGAAATGAAGATAAATGTTTATATACAATATATGAGCAATATAATATACTTACACAGGTTCAACGGAACTAGCATACTTTAACAAAGTCTGCAGCTTTACGCAACCGGGTGGCCACAATGGTAAGACACTTGTATCCATGAATGTAGCGACAAATGATTCCATACTCTCCTTTCTTGGTCTCAGAATCTTGAAATAATGTCTCCTGGCATTCGCAATTTCAAGAACAAGTTTCCTAAAATTAAAATTTATATTTATATATGCAAATACAAGTTTAAGATATGCATATCAGTATTGATCAATAACACACTTGGCTTCGTCAGTCCATGGAAATCGTTTTCGCGGTATTTTCGGCTTTTCCGTATTTTTAGAAGAACCATCTTCTTCATCGCTACTTTCCGCACCTGCGGGCGATCCCTCAAAGCCCCTGAAATCGATCAATTATACTTTAGCGAAAACAACATTACGAAGAATTATGATATCGCGATGACAAAGAATGATGATCAGCATTTGTTGCGACAGAATTCCTCGATATTAATCTCCTCTCTTTGACAGTAACACATAATCGAATCACCTAATCGTCGAATTGTGTCCCAGATCAAATGCATAGATTTCTCGATTGATACAAAAGATGATGCTAGTGATAAACTAAATATTGATACTGATGATAAAAAGCCCCGTATCTTCCTCTGCTTTCTCAATGTGATTGATGAAGAATAATGATCAAATGACTTTTCCTCCGTATGCAACACATAATCAGTTATGTAAATGTTCATAGTAATTGAGAGAGCAAAAGCATGGATAAGCATGAATAGATTAGATTAAGGGAGAAAGATAAAAAACAACAGAAAAGAAGAGAAAGATAAAGAGAAAGAGCAGTCGGAGGCGAAAATAGAAAGGGGTTCCTCTTACGAGGGGCGCCTTACCAACAGTACCGATATATCTCCCAGTATAATTGAGGACTGAGAAATAAAAAATTACAATGAGTTTACATTCAGGAAATTATAAACGGTAGATTTTTATATATACTAACGCTGGAAAATTGAATTTTTCTTCTATCAAATTTCTATACCTAAATTTCTAACCACCATTTCATATTATAACGAATTAACAGTTTATTATTCGGAAAGATTCATTGTAATATTGAAACAGAAATAGTGTACAAAAATCAGAAATAATAATTATATCAAACTACTAATATGTAATACGATACGATAAAGTTACTCACTTTTCATCAGCAACTTTTTGACACTCCTTCATATATTTGTCCATAACTGAAGGCATGACATTATCAATAAGTTGTTTTAATCTGTAACAGTAACAAACTTTGCTAAAATCAGAACTTTCGGAAGTACAAGAGATAATTTATATATTATATTTATATATTTTACATATATGCATAATAATATCACAATAACTTACTTATGCATTGGTTCATTCACTCTGTATTCAGCGTCTTTCAAATAAAGTTTCTTTGCTCTACTGAGAAGAGTAATTTTGCTACAAGGCAAAAATCGTACTAGATGACTATAGGTTTGTAACCTTATGCTCGCCAAATTCAACATCCGCAATTTCTTCTCTAAGCTGTAATGAAAGTAACAGATCTTAGAATACTTTTCGCGATTCGTAATTCGTAATTTACTTGATTTACTACCACAGGAACTCACTTAAAAAGTATTTCGTTGACCGCGCTGTTGAAAAACTTGTTTTTACTGTCTTTACTGTTCTCAGCTTGAACCTTTAATTTATTCACTATCTCTTTTATGTCCTCAGGGAGAGTTTCGGGCAAAGACGCTTCTTTATTCTCCATTTCCTCCCCGTCCGATTCAACATAAAGGCAAACGCGAGATTTTCCTGAATCTGTTGTATCGCGACTCGAATCATCTTCGATTCCTCTAGCCGCATTGACGACGCTCTCTATCGCATCATCAATATTGCTCTCTTTGTTACCTAATCTTTTCAGATCTATCTTTTTCGCATCGTATCCATTACTATTGGACGATTTCTTTTCGAACTTTTTTATGTCAAACTTTTTCTCATTTATTTTGCTCTTTTCCAGTTTTTCGGACTTTTTCTTTTCCTCTTGATCTTCCGAGGCTAAAATAGCAAAATTATTACACAAGTTAAAAGTTTTGAATCAAATGCTTTTAATTAGAAGAATTATACCAACATATAATGAGAAATATTACCTGTGCCACCCTCAGCATCTGTCGTCTCATTCTTCTCCTTTCGTCTTAAAAGATCCAGATCTTGTTGAGAATTTTGTTGCGCATCCTGTGGCTGATGGTTTTGAGACTTTTTCCTTTTCTTATTCTCGTGATTACTCTTCTTTTCGCCACTCTCTTCAGTTTTCCGTCTCTGTAAATCACCATTACGTTATTCGATGTAGGCGCACAAAAAATTAATATAATTTCAAATATTTAAATCGTAATTACTTTTCGTGGATTATCACCCGTAATATCCTCCGTCTCATCGTCATCTGACGAGCTAATAATAGTTCGTTTATCTACTTGTTTAGGACTATCTACATCTTCGGTGTCCTCCTCACTACTTTCGCTGCTCTCATCATCATCACTATTGTTATTATTATTATTGTTATGAACTAACACATGTCTATCGGCCGCCCTGAATTCAAGAGCTCCGCAATTAATATAAAAACCACCGTGCGCTGTGGTCATCTCTTCGGGTACAATTTCATCATACTGTCGGAAAAGCATGAAGAGAATTATATTGAAAATGATATCTTTAAAGTTATTTTCTCGCATAAAAAATATAAAATACTTGATACGTACAGCGTCAGTATTGTCGATGAAGGAATCGTTTTCATCATATCCTGCACCCAAATCCACGTAATCGTCGTATTTGTGCCTCTTTTTCCCCGTAGTAGATGTTCCCTACAGCAATTGAAAATAAAATTAACGCTTGTAAGTTCTCTCATTTCCTCCAATCAAATTCAATTTCATCATCAACGTTATTGTACGTACATATTTTGCCTCGAATCGTTTTGCCATATCCCTAAGCTTATCCTCATCGTCATCATCATCGAAGGGATCCAATCCATTCGTTGCATTCTCATCTCCCCCTTTTTGGTCTTTTCTTCGTTTTTTCTATAGAACAAATACAAATTTATTTGCAATCTATATTGAATAGCTCGCAATCGAAAGTTATCCAGTAACCCATAATAAATTCCATTCCATCTCGATTTACTCTGCACCACTTTCACTAATTTATAAAAAATTCAGATCGATTAAAGAGAGGGAGTGCATATGCTCGCGTATTTCCACATATACGCACTTCAATCCGATCCAAATATATTTTTGATAATGATAAAAAAATGTTTCAAATTTTTTCACAATCGATTTATCGCCAACAAATATCACGAAAGTGAAACTCAAACAAGCCTTCGCATAGATTTGTTATTTTTGCAATGTCTCTATCAGTAATCTTATTTTATAAAAAATTATCGCGAAAGAGATAAAGAAAGATAACAATTAATTAAAATATATAGCAATTTTGGTGAGAAAAAGATGAATCGATTCTCTGTAAGGGTACTAATACGTTCGCCGATACCAGGAGCACATACTGCTGCTAGAGCATTGTCCTTTTCCTTTCGCGCTCTTTCGTTCGCACCATACCGCAAGCCGCCTCTCCTGTTCTCCTGGTACAGGGACGCTGACTAGAGTGATTGATCCTGCCAATCATTTGATACCCGAGGCTGTTTGACACAAACGTCTTAATCGGATCGATTTTATAATCTGTATCGTGTTAATTATTCGATCAATTGATGAGACATACCACGCGGATTATGCAGTTTTTACCTCTTTTTTCACGCAACCACGCATTCCATTTCGCTTTGAAATTATTAACGGAATTTTTAACAAAAAATAAAAAAAAAAGTTAACCCAGTAACACGAAACGAGGTCTCGGTGTTCGGCAGATATAAAATATAAAAATGAACAAAATAAAGATATCATATGGTTGCATATCATATGGTCGAGTCGTAAAATAAAAAGAAAAAGAAAGAGAATAATTGTAAAACGCAATAAACCGCATTCACTGAATTTACGTTTGTAAATATGCATTTTGCACGTATATCGTCATTTAATATCTTTTCGAGATAAGAAGAGGATAAACATCTTTAATTTTTACTTCCCAATATTGATCATATATTTAATCGCACAACACAGCGCACAATACAAAGCAATTTCATAGGTGAAGATCGATAAGCGATTTTATATTGTAAATTTTGAAATTACGCGCTCCGCTTTTCCGAAATCTGATTCGCTGGCGTTTTGTAACCACGTTTTCGAAACACGTGCCCGACTGAAACAAAAAGGGCGTCGAAACATTCCGTGTCCTTGCGTTCTTTCTTTTCAACATACTTTTATTATTTTATTTTCCTCTCAGTTGGGCGTGTACGTATGCAAAGACGTGTACAAAAGCAAAATACAAAAACTGTTATCTGAGTATGTGCTATATATGTGACACACAATACGGGTCTGTCAATTTTATTGTCCTCATGCGGGCGGTTGTCTATTATTGACAATAGTCAGATATTAAATTGCACATAAAAATTATCCGAATATCCTTAACTTACCTGCGAAAGATAAAGAAAGCGTCTCAAACATGCGTCTCAAACAACATGCGCGTTGCATGTGATTACTCGGATTATTATATTTATATTATATTATTATGTATATATTGTGTGTTCGTTTTAATAAGAACGGACTTCGTGACTAATTATTCATTGTTATCGAGGAGTGAGAGACAGATTAGATTCTACATATTTGTATTACTCATTTTTTTGAACGAAAAGAGAGAGAAGAAAGGAGGGAGACGGGAGTGCGTGACATATGTCTCGAGCGGCGCATTCGATACGTGTCGGCGGTCACGAGTCTCTCCGGTGCATCGATCTACAATTCAGAAAGGAGAGCCCGCCGCAACATGCTCTCTCGCGCGCGCGTGAAATAAGAGACTCCGCTCGCGACACACACGTTCACACTCTGCGTCGCGAACCATCTCTTTCTCACTCCCTCTTTTCTTCGCGGTCGCTGTCGCGCTTTCTCGCTCCGCTGTATCTTTCTCCCTCATGCACCGACAAGACCCGTCGAAAGGAATACGTGGCTTGCGAAATAGACCGGCGTAGACGTTATACATACAAACGAATAAGGCATCGCCGTCGCCGTGTCTCTCTCTTTCTTTTTCTCCCCCGGGAGGTAGGACAGAGACGGAGAGATGGAGAAACAGAAGGGAAGGAGAACGAGGAAAGATGCAATGCCGGACGATCGTCGTCTCGCGCAATGGCAACTCTCATAGAGGCATTTTACGAGCAAAAGAACCGCACGAAGGACGCCGAGTCTGCCGAGAGACAGACGCACGCCTTTCAAGTGCAATACAACGCATGTCAGCCTCGTGACAGCGTGCATATGTCGGGCCTGCGGTAACGTTGACACCGCGCGGATTCGACTCGATGGAGACTGCAAATCGATCAGAGAACTGTTTTTCGCTCATCTCGGCTGTGCCGAAGACATCGGGGCAGTTCCTTATATGCGTACAGATGCGACGGCGAGTTCGGCGCGTACGGTGATGTCGCGCAAAGCGAGCCGCGTGACAATCGCGTCAACGACGCGCGATCAGCTCGTTGAGGCGGCTTGCCGAAATGCCGCGATAATTTCTCGTTTTTTTTCTGCAACTGCTGTTGTCTGCGATACATCCCATCGACAGATACACACGCTGTCTTTCTTCCTCTTCCCGTATGCTCTGCGCGTGACGGCATTGACATACGGCCTCTCGATCTCCCTTTTCGCCGCAACAAAAGCGAGTTAATTGCACGGAACTCACCTCGGCCGTTTTGAGGAGCTGTGCATAGTTGAATTCGGGGCATGTCTTCTCGTTCGACTCTGGCAGGGTGAGCGTGAAGCGGAAGGAGGGCGCGAGCTGCTTGCCCACATTCCCCTTTTTCTCCTTCTTCGTCGCGTGGCCCAGGGACTCCGGGAACTCCAGGGTCTGCAGGGGTACCCGTTTCGCTTCTGACATTCCTACATTTGCACTGAGCCTAACGCAGATCACGGAAACACTGCGGATACTGCGACCGCGGCAACATGGTACCCTCACTCACTATTTCCCGACTAAACACCGCGCGGACGCCGCCGCTCACACGTCGCCATCTTCGGCTCGACTGTTTTTAGAGTGCGCTACTGACGCACCGCGACACCGACACGCATGCGTCACTTCTTGCATAATAGTGCATTTCCAATGATAAATAGAAATGTTATATATATATAATTATTGTTAAGGTAAATTTACATATATTACTCATTTCCGAGTCGGATGCATCAGGTCTAGATATTTGTAAATCGTGACACAAAGCTGTGATGTGTGTGAAAATAAAGTATGAAATTGGAAAAAAAGAAGCAACAGATTATAGAATATTTAGATAATTAAGAAATAATGAAGTTTTAAATTTTTTAACAAACAACACAGTGTATAAAATATAGTACATGAAGGGTTTATACCGCAAGTACTGTAATAAATTCTTAATTAAATAATAAAAATACTCAAACAATTAGAAGAGATGCAAAGATGTGATAGACATTTTAATTCAAAAAAACTATACTAATTAAAATGTATAAATTGATATTTCATAAGAAAATAATGTTTAAAGTTAGCAAAACATTAATTTTTTGAATGAACTTTATTATAAGTAACTACTACAAGTCTTAATTATGATACTTAATATTATCATTACGTATAAAAAATACTTGTATGCGTCCTTAAATATTATCTTTATGTACGAATGCCTGGAATGGTAAAAAAAGATCAGTCTTCCAAAATACTGTGCGTACAATACTGTATACTCATAAATTGTAACTGCATATATTTATGTGTCTAAAATTATCTTAAAATATATGTTTAAAAAATTAAATATATAGATTTTTTAAATTCATTCCATTGTATAGATTTGTATACTTGATTTGTACTCAATATTTAATTAGATGTCCCTGGATTATTTTCAAAAGTTAAATCATCATTTTTCTTTGCTATTTTAATTGCTGAAAATTGCTGACCTAAAATCTTCATCACATCGGCATGTTTTCTACTATTCTTCTCTTTTTTCACAGAGTTATAATTCTGCTTTACAAAAAGCGCAAAACCAGAAGGTTTCTTTTGTGGAGTTTGTACTTGAACAGTGCCAGACTTGGTCGTTTTGTTAATTAACAATTCAAATTTTCCATAACAATAACCACATCGCTTCTTCTCGATATCCAAGGACTTTGAATGTCTTCCAATACTGCAAAAAATAATACAAATTCTAGAAATGTAAAAGAGGAAATAAGTATTTTTATCATAATCAATGCCCAATACCTGTAGCCACAACTAGTGCATCTATATGTAAACTTAGTTTTAATATCATAATCGTGACATCGACGAATTGGTGGCAATTCAGGAAATGCCTTCATTGCTTTGCTAACCCTGTAATACAAAAATAATTTAATGTAGAATTTTAGACAAATATGACATACTATGTTCATATTGCTTTACAAAATTTTAATTATTTAATTATATATGTATTTTCAAGTTACTAGCTATAAAATATCCTGTCATACCATGCTGTCCAAAAGGCCCCGTGACCATCTGAGACATTATTTATTAGCCAAGCTGCAGCGTGACACATTTCATGAATCAAGGTATCTCTAAGTCTATCTGGTGTATCTAAAATCTATAAAATATGATTTATTTTAATCATGTTTAATTTTATTTATATATGTTTGAAGAATAATTAAAAGAAACAAATAAGAATATACCTTTGTTGCTAACACAATCCGTGAAGATCTAGCAACACCACTAAGACTTTTTGTGGTCTTCTTGTTATAACAATAACCAGCAGTCCCTCTCATACGGACGTTCCATTCAATCGGCATATCTCGAGGTAACTTATTGTCAAATACTTTCTCATTGTACAATTTATACAATTCTTTACACAACTCTTCCTTATTATGTTTATAATGCAATCTATACTTCTTGGCATTTGGATGAGTACTACTCATTGGAACTGCATTTGATAAAGATTTCAGAAAACTTTGGTATTCTACAAACTTGCTCGTTTTTTGTTTGTTGTTGTTCGTTATAGTTGATTCTATTTTGGATGTCACTTTCAATAGCTGTGGTATCTTTGTAGTAGCTTCTAAAAATATATATTTGAAGTTATTTTTATGTTAACTTAATATACTTAACTTATATAACTTTGTTATATATCCTTTACTTTTTTTATATATATTTTTCGGTGGTACATAATCTCCTGGATCATATTCACTCGTGTCAGAACTTTCATCATCACTAAATGATAATTTCTTCCTCAACAAACTCTTAGAACTTGTAGTGGATTTATCATTTTCATCTTCAGTGTCTGTATCACATATTGTCTGAAGCCTATATTAAGAAAATATTTCATTAAATGCAGTACTTCTATGTACACAACTATATTTGAAATAGACATATAGATATACCGTTTAATTGAAGCTGGAACTGACACCGGTTTAGTAGCTGTACTATTTACAGAAGTTCTAGGATTTGTTAATGCAGTATGATATTCACTCTCAATATCGCTGCCTGATAATGATTCATCATTAATAAAACTATCTCGCTTTTTATATTTTTGTTGGATTTTTCTTCCTTGATTTGGTTTGATATTATTTTCTTCTAAAATATAAAATAATTTTTTAAAGAAAATTATATTAATAAATTAAATTTAAATAAAATGAGAATTCTTACCCAAGTCAGATTCATCTGAATCTGAGTCTGCTACATAATGTTTCTTCCTTATTACAGGTTTTCTGTATAATAAGACATAATTTACTAGGACATTTCTTGGACATCTTTTTATTAAAATAAAAATAATATAACAAAAATTATATATTATGACATAAATTACCGTTCTGTTTGGACAATCCTATTTGCTGTATGAACAGATGTCTTCCGTGGTTCACTTGTTGGTATTAATGCATTAGCTTTATCTCTCCATGATTTGCCATACAATTTATCTAAAATATCTGCACAGTCTATTACATCTTTGTTGGATGTGTTTACAGGAGAAATTTTTTTGTCAGTATGTATTTTTGGTAAGATCTTCAGTCTATCTGGTGTACAAAATTCAGAATTTATATTATTTTTAGATTTTGGAACCAATGTATTCAATGCAGTTTGATGTGTCAATGAATCTTTGTCAGAATCATCAGAATTTAATATTATAGTTTTCTCATCTGTCTGCATCTTGTTAAATTTTCCTCTGTTATTTGGAGTTTCATATTTCATTTCTAATCTTTCCAAACTACTGTTTCCAGAATTTATGCTATTTGTGTTGCTTCGAGATACATGACTATAAGAACTGTCATTTCGAGAATCTGCTGAATTTGTCATAAGCCACTCTGCAATTTGTATTTTTTTCTTTTCAGACAGAGGTCTATAAAGGTCTTCTTTCTTTGGTGTATTTGAAAATTCTCTGAAGCATGTTTTTGTTCGTTTTGACAAATCCACTTGTGAGTTAGGAATAATATCATTTTTGAGACTTATATTAATAACATCAGGACTTTGACTTGGTTCGACTGAGTTCTTCAAGTTTTTATTATTCCTGGGTGACATAGCTGGATGCATTATGTCATCTATATCTGTACTTTCATCAATTATAACATTGGTTTCTTTTTTCTGTCTGGGAGAATCATATATAATTCGTGTAGCCTTTATATTCCTCAAAATTTTCTGAGTATCTTGCTTTGTGAGTTTTATTTTTCCTGTATCATCTTTATCCGGAGTGTTAAAAATTAATTTATTTTCTCTATTGCAAGTATCGAAATTATAATTGTATTTAGCACGACTTGGCGTGACTACTTTATTTGTCTCTTTAATGTCATATTTTTCTCTTACTTTTTGATTTATCAGTTTTCGCTCCGGAAATATTAATGTAGCTAATGGAGTAGCATAAGATTTTTTTAAATTACTTATTCCATCCTTAATAATATGGTTACTATTACCATCACTACTGCTAGTAGTATCATCAGAAGTACAAAATGCCTTTTCAATTTGTATAACAGATTTATTTATTTTATTTATTTTATCTGAGTATTTCTTATCTGAGGATTTATTGTCAGATTTGACTAGTCTTCTCCATGAAGAATTAGGCTTTTCTTCTTCGCTTTCTGAAGAAGTATCTAACAAATGTAACCTCTGATAATTTTGTCTTGTAAATTCTCCTTTCTTCTTATTAACATTAGATACTGAAGTAGATTTAGATTGTGATGTGTCAATATGCTTAGGTGATGAACTACAACTTGAATCGCTAATCACAATAATATCATCCTTATTTTTTGTCTTTCTGATTGTAACAAAATCATATGTATCTTCAACAGTTGAATCTTCAGAAAGTCGCAATGTAAAATTTTGCGAATTGGCCACAAATTCTCTTGTATTATAATTAGATAACATCTTCGATTTTTCTTATTTCCTTAATTGACTCTAAAATATTTTTAATATGCACTTTACGATAGCCAGCTATTTGAATTTTTGCACATATAAATGTTATTGGTCTTGTAGTTCTTACAGTTCTTCCCAGAAGTGATACAATGTATTCACACAAAAATAAATATCAAAAGACAAACAGCAGTGTTGACAGAATCATTATGCACATGGTGAATTCTACCAGTATAATACTTAATAAAAAAAAATATCAATCGGAAACTTATTACATGTTGTATATTCTGATATATATGCACTTTGCACGTTGCATTAAATTATTTCTATCAATCTCTCTTATATAAAAGTTGTTATTAATCAATATGTTTGTAAAATATATGAATAAGTCAACTTTCAAATCGACAGAAGTCAGTTAAACACTGATGCCAACTACAACATAATAAAAGATCTATGGAAATGCAACAGTCTCATAAAAATTAATTCACCAGTATATTTTTATATTATTTTATAAGCAATCTTTTGTAAGCTTTTCATGGCTGGTTTATGCTTTGGTCTTAATCTTAATCTTAAGCCGAGAGCACAAGCTTTTACATAAAGCATAACGCATAAGCATAAGGAAATTGATTGGTCTTATATATAAGCATAAGCAAATGCATAAGGAAATGGACCAATCAATTTCCTTATGCTTATGCGTTATGCTTTATGCAAAAGTCTGTGCTCCGGCCATAACCATCAACTGACAGTAGTCGTTATTCCAGTGTTGCGATATGGGACCGGTTGTATGCGCATGTGCGGCAATACGGCGTCAGTACAGTGTCTCATACAAGTTAAACAAGGCACCGTTACCCGCTACATTAAAAATATTTCTAAATTTTTTGAAATTGATTGAAATTTTCTACTTCTTGGTTTTTTAGCTGCTGGCTTCGTAGATTCCATGTTTGTAAATAAATAAATCTTACCTTATTTGTTGTCACCTAACCTTCTCATGTCAAAACGTCCCGCCATACGGTCAACACAACATATAACGGCACTTGGGTCTCCATCACCGCACATGCGCATATAACCGGTCCCATATCGCAACACTGTGTTATTCAGTAGCCGCAGCTACAGTTAGATGGTGTTCACTGTCCGTCAATCGTGCTTTCGACGATTCAATTCACGTCGCGCGTCGCTAGATGATGTACGCTGTTTGCCAGTTGCACTGAGCTGCACTTATGGACGACTTGAATAAAATCTCTCGCCGCTGCATACATTATCAAATGTCAATTCGCCGAGAAAGCGAAGGATTGTCACCAAAATAGAATTCACTAGGTTTATTTTATTTATTTTGTTTGTTGTATATCTGTATCTTCAAATTGGCTTGATAGTTCTTCCTCCAATCTGTCGCCATCTTATGTTCGTAAATGTTGCAGGAGAAATACAAAATGCGGACGCAGTTGCTGCCAATCTGTCGCAATGAAGAATCGCGTGCTTCATATCCGTCTCAACCAAATACAGATTCGTGTAAAAGGTGTGTCAAATTTTATTTATATAGAAGTTTGCCGAAACTTTTATAACTTTATGCAGCTCCATCAATACATAGCTCTAATTCGGAAGCTATCCGAAATGAGAACGAAACTCAATCAGGATTCCATCTATCGTATTATTCGCACAAAGCAGACCTCAGATTCGATTATCTATTCGCGCTTCCCGCCACACATTATGTACTCTCGCAGTATAATACTCGTGATGTGCGCGTGTAGCCGTAACAGGAGATTATGGCATACCTACGGTTAAACCTGATCCTGCGATATTTTGCACTATCCATCCTTGCAATATGCAGTGCTGAAAATGATCAAAACCGCCGAAGCGTCGAAACCACGAGCATCGAAATTTCGAGGCCGACAGAAAATGAAAATTTGAAAGATCTGTAATTCAAATGAATTACTTGCAGCATACTTATAATTCAATTTTCCGACTAAATTTCAATCCGCAGCACTTTACGAAAACGTTACGATAAAAACTCGATTTCGCGCGACGATGTTCATGATAAGCTTAAAATGTCCAGCGTAATAGTATTGCAACTTGCGCCAGTATTCGTATAGCTGCCGCATAATGCTACAGGCATTTATAACGAAAAGCGAACAAAGAGCGAATCAACCAACATTGGTTATCCAATTTGCAGCCGAATTTCAACGAATACCACGACAGGATGCACCTATCAAACTCTATTTTGGCCGACGCCGAGTATACCAGATTGCATCCGCTCTCAGCATAAATTCAAAATTGATTGTATCGTTACGGCACGTGGCAACGTTTACCGGTTATTAAGCGCAGCTTAATCCTTTCAGTATGAAATTGGATCCCCCAACTTTCTTAAAAAATATAAAAATTTAAAAAGAATATAAAAATTTCAAATTTATAATATATTCGATTTTATTTAGTTAAATTGGAAACTGTTTATAAAGTTTATCCAAATGATAGATAAATAAGCGTATGATAGTGCTTAATGTTACATAAATAATTTTATATTTTTATTCAAAAATATCTTATTAAATAATAGACACATACTATTTTCATACTCAAAATCTTTCTCGAAAACTATACGATTAATTAAAAAATGTATTTTATAAGTTGTTTTTGGTACGTAAAACATTCTTTTCAATTATAATTTATCACAAATTTTATAGAGACAATGATTCTGATGACAGATGATAGAGCCATAATTTGAAAAAGCGAGTTATACGTAAATGGCTGTTTCTGCGAAAATGAAAAAAAACCGCATATCAATGAGCACGAATTAGTTAATCGTTAGTGTAGATTCCACGGCACGTTTTTTCGCGATGAATTCGCGAGAAACGCGCTTCTTTGAGAGCCCGGTAGAAAAGACCAGCCATTGTGAGAACGGCTGAGATTTGCTTCGTGAGCCATTCTTGATATTAAACGTGATTTAACGCGAGCGCGGGTTTCTCGAAAGAAACGGGACGCGCCGTGCCGCAGCACCGATATAGGCCCGAGGCGCTGATAAAAGCAGCCCGCGTGTCAGAAAACAATGCCAATACGGATAATGACGGCCGCCTACGTGAGCGTTGCGATAAATATGGACAGAACGCGGTGGTGGCGGGCGTGGAAACAAAGAAAAATTTTCCACAAAAGTCCAGCTCGCAAGATACTTGAGAAATTATGAACCCCGACCGTAAGTAAATTCATCGCGATGTCAAGACTTCATTCACTCTCTTCCCTAAATAATATCTTACATTAATACATTACCGAGCAACAGTTCGCATTATCTTCGCTCCTCGATTCGTTCCATTTTGTTTTTCTGGACCGTGAATTAACTTTTGCTTCGCCCGAACGTGATAGTTCACTCTAACGAAAGTAATATCCTTAAGAATACCTAAGGAAGTTTAATGAAAGCTTGAAATGAAAGTGTCGGCTTTAACAGACGATGTGGAATGCAATCGATTTCGAATCTTGACCGCAAGAGAGTTCTTCGCGTATCCATGGAAATATTCGTCCTGCTTAACGGAGATTTTACGCTTAACAAGATATTTGCAAATCCTGTCGATATTGTTTGGGCAAGAGGATAAAGAACTAACAATTGTTAGTTTTTTATTTATTTTTTTATCATTCGGGACAAAGCAATTTGTGGGCGGAATGTATTCGGCTCTTTCTTCCCCTCGAAACAAACAGAACAATCGATTAGAAACGTACCGGGAATGCCAATTTAAACGTGTTTGAATGACTGATTTTATTCATACATCCTGCGAATAAAATTTTTTCGACTGGTGGAATTTTTTTTTTGTTTTTTGTGATTTGCACGATATTTACCTTGATAGTGTTTCCGGTATCTTTTAATTTCAAATTCAATTTGCAGGATTTTCGTACTTTGCATACAAATGCACTTCACATTTTACCCGTAAAACAAACAGGAATTACATCTTCTGTTTAATCGCTCGTTCATTAATTACACAAAGGATTCCCAAAAGTCGTATAATATACTCATTTTAAAATTAAATGCGGATTGCTCGAATAAATCAAACCTCATTGACCTCGCTCTTTTTTTTTTCATTCTCCCACCGGAGTGTTCCACCGCCGATACACTATCTGAACGATGCCGTTTTTCTGTATCATGTCAGATTCATGAGGGTATCAATCCCCTGATAGCATCTACAAAAACATCCGTCGACTCGGCCGACCTGTAACTCGTGTAAACCCATTCGATATCTCATAAAAGAGGAATGAAAAGAGGGAGAGAGGGAAAGAAGAACGGGGATCGTCGGAGCGGCCGGCATCGCATCGGGCGCGAAAATCTGCGAGGTATACCAGCAACTAGTGGCGTCGGTCGAAACTCGGAACCCCCGAGAGAGCCCTACAACCTCGTATAACCCACCCCCGGCACCCCACCTTCGCCGAATAGAGAGAGAGAGAGAGCGCCTTGTTCCCCCATTTTCCGCGAGAGAATTCTCCCTCTCCCGCCTCACTTCCGTCACCCTCTCTCCATCGCTACCTCTTTCTCTCCCCTCTCCCGCTCGCCCATCTCTCTATCTCGCACGCCGCGTTCCTCTCGCGCGCTCGCGCGTTCTTCGGCCTCCGGAGCGAGTCGCAGCATCCGTTGGACCGTTCCGGACTTCAGTCCACGTCGAGAACGCGCCACTGTCGGGACTTCCAGAAGTGACAACCACCCCGCAGCTCGCACGTCCGACGTTGCGTGCACGGCGTCATCATCCATCGTCGAAATTAACCAATAAACGTCAATCGAAATTATGGTACCGCGACCTTCCTGCGCGTGACGGGAGATACGAATAAAAGAATATTTAAAAAAATTTATTACGAGATAAAATCTCCGATACAATCGCATTCGTAGCGTATTGACACAAATCTTTCGGATAAGAGCTGTCCGAGCGGCGCGACACGATTCCTTACCAGTCGACCGGTGCGTCGAATGATCTACCGTTAGTATCGACCGGTACAATATCAAATCGTTACGTCGATTGACACTCGGTACCATCCCCGCCGCGTTTGGTACCGCGCGAGTCACGCAGCTCGCAGGACAATCGAAAAAAAGTTTTCGCACCGTCGACAGACATTCTCGGAAGCCTCGTTAGCCGAGTCCGCACCGTCGGTTCTTCACCTCGAGGGCCGACCGACGACGAGAAGGACCAACGCGCGAAACGCGCTCGATGCCCTAAGGGCTCGAATGCCGCCGGTTCTGATGCCGACACGTGCTGAGCGCAATTGTTGAGGGTGCGGCGGAGCACAAGGGAGAAACAGTGCCACGAGGACCCGCGGGGAGAGCTGAAGAAGAGGGATCTCAGGCCGGGAGACTGCCGGGAGTTGTTGCCCAGTCCCGGCGAGGAGGCGGACATCGGGCCCGGATGCTCGCGAGGACGAGACGCCGGAAGCGCTGCCACGTTGGAAGGGAAAATATTGACGGCCGTCAACAAGTTCCTTACAACGTCCCCTTTGGTTAACAAGGTCAAGTTGCTGATGGTGAGTTTCATTCTCTTGTTTCCCTGTCTCTTTCTACCTCTCATACTTTCTATCTCTCTCCCTTTCTGTCGTCGACACACACTAGCGGAACGTCCGCGCGGCCACTGACTCGGCCTACGGTTTAGTTTCTCGCTTTCTCGACACGTAGGAGGACACATATACTCGACTTTGCTCTGAATGCGGAGTTAGTTTGCAGTTGTCGTACGGCACTCGTCGCGATTGTACCTTCCGCCTCCGGCAAGTTTCAGGGTGACGATGTTCGCCGTTACAGCGAGGAAGGTACAAGATATCGACATGATTCCGATCACCGATTGACAGGGAAAATTGGTTTTTATCGATAAGTTTCGCGGACGTCAGTTTCCCTTGTGCTAAATTTTTGATGGTTACGAAAAGTAGGACTTGATTTTTTCATTTACGGACATTTCCAGACACGTCTTCGCGTCCTTAAATCCCTAGGTGTCAAGAGTTTTACCAAAGATTGCTTTTAACGCGATTAATAATTTACTACGATTAATAACGAATGTTATGTTAGAATTGGTTTTTTATAGATAAGTTTGTCAGTTTCTTCGGAGATATGATAAATTTTCGATGGTTACAAGAAGCATGGCTTGATTTCTTCATTTACGGATATTTCCAGATGCTTCTTCGCGATCTTAACTCCACAAGTGTCAAGAGTTTTACGAAAAGCTGCTTTTAACACGATTAATAATTTACTACAATTAATAACGGATTATTATGTTACGTTAAAATTTTTCTTTGCTATATATTTGATTAATTTTAGCCACCGGACGTATGTGTGAGCAATAAAGATCAGCACGCAACTGATTATTAAAATTCCTCACTTAGTTCACGTCGCGCATAATTTACGATTATTCATCGACATTCAGCTTCGCAGCTTAACCGCGTCTGCTTCGAGCTTCCCATCGTCGTGGAGAGCTTGACGGGCTGTGAAGCATAATTGTCGATCCACTTTGCACCACTGGATCGTGTCGACGGCAATCACTCGAATGTTTGTCAACCAATACCTATTTATTTTACATCGTGCGGTTTTTTGTTGAATTTTATATAAACTTGCATTGAAACGCAAATACCTTGAATCCAGGTGGAAACTTGTGAGCGCCTTAATTGTCGACATTAAAAGATTTATTAATGAAGTTTACAAGTGAGATGATTATTTAACGTTCTAATATTCTACTAGCTTGATCGGTTTTTGTCTTGTCCTGTTATAAAAATTATTAACTACATGTGTAGACAGTTGGATTTAATGTGATCAAAAGTTGCGCAAGTGGAATAACTTGCGACATAATTGTAACAACCGCGACTTTTTAATTTCAAGAAACTTGCGGTTTAACCGGCTAATTTTAGTAGGACGTTATTTGCAGAAATATGCATGTAAGCAAATAATAATTGCTTGGTTAATTTCCGGAAGAAAAGGATTATAATTCTGAGCTTCTCGTACTGCGCATTCTCATTTAATTAGAGATAGCTGTCGCATATTATAATTGCATCTTTCTTTATTAGTATATTTCTCATCTTTGCGAATTTTCTTTTCTTACTTTCTATATTTTTCATGGTCTTCTAAAAAGTATAGTGTTATATAAATTCCAAAAAAATCCAAAATATAAAATATTTATTAATTAATTAATAGACCATTAAAAAATGCTCGTTCTTAGCTCGTAAATTTTTCGAATTATTATATTAATTAAAGAGTCCATATTAAAATTATATTTAAAAGTATATTTATATTGTAATAATTAAAAGAATATTTAACAATTTTATATTTACAATTCCTTTTTCCGTAATTTGATTTTTCGATAATTTGGTTATTGAATTTCGGAGAACTTTTGACATACAATTGCTTGTTAAACTTTGTCAAAAGTTGTCCTCTGCGAACGATGTCATCCTTAATTAGCAAAGTTCTTGTATTTTTTCTGAAACGAGAGAAAATATTTATAGCGTTATTTTTTATATTTTATTTCTCGATTGGATTTCGCACATCGCCGCAGGAATGATACGCGCGGATACTAGCTCGAGATTTTCATTCCATTTTTCACTCATGATGTTTGCATGATCGTCACACTGAAATAATGTGCAATTAACTGCGTTCCTGCGTACTCATTTACATGCAATTATGCCTTTGATGACCACTGATGCGTGTTACGCGTGTTTGCGTGTATTCTCTGTCACGCCGTTGCAATCCAAAATGAAAGCCCACACGCATAAGCCGGATATGATTCTTTTTTTTTTAATAAGTCAATTATCTAGCTAGTAAGGCTATTATAGATAAAAGCAGAGATAACTAAGTAAACATAATGTAAACATAATGAAACATAGTGAAAAAAAAGAGAATAATTATCGGAGAATAATTGATCAGCACAAATTGAGATACGATATCAGATGGAAAAAGATTTTCACATCACGTCAAACACGCGCTTTCCTCCCCTTGTATTCGACAAGAAAATATTGGGGTGTATCTATAGATTTGCCAAGCGTGCAGAAACAGATAATTGGCCCCTAAGAATCTCGCGAAAATAAAAAAGAAATATCACGTCTCCTCGATAATACCAATGTACAAAGAGAGCCCGGAGGTATATTAAAAATATATACATATATGTTTCCGGTTGCCGCGGCAGTAGTATTGAGCATTATGTCAGAACGGCGAAAGAATATCCCGCTCGTTGTAAATCGCGATCGCGTGATCGTTGCATGTGGATCGAGGCAAGAATTGCGAATTACGTTCTTCACGCGAACGCCATTTGCGGCAATCTACATCCTTCACGGATGACTGAGACAGAGATATTTTAAGTACCAGGCGGATACGCGCGAATTAAGTTTACCGCGCATTAATGTTAACCGCGAGTTCATTACTATGAATGCATCGATTACGGGGCTCAAAGCGAGAGTGGCTTCGGCCGACACTTGCCTGCGGTGGCGGAACCTCGGACGTGCGCCGTCCGATGTAATAAATGGAATGCTTTCGATCCCGGAGAAATATTTAATTAACCCTAATTAAAACGACAAAGTGAATTAACGCCTACACGTAGCTTTCAACATACAAGCGTTTTCGGCAATTCATCATCGCAAATGCACTTTTAATCTCTATATAAAAATTTTTAAACGCTTTACAGCAGCGGAAAGTCCCATTCGCGGAAATTACATTTTACAGATGTCGAAACGTGACATCGTATTCTTCGCATTTCGAGATTGCTAATAGCGTTGGAAAAATCTTTCGCGAATGTGCAGATATGACTGAACCGTCCGGCTTGTTTTTACTTGAAAATCAGGAGATGCCAGATGTTAATTTTGTTACATATTTTATTTGAAAATGACATACAAAATGAGAGATATACACGAATAAAGTTGCACTTTTAACTTGATATTAAAACAAATTGGAATGTGAGTTTTGCTTTATCTCATATCTAAAAATTTATAAAATGTGGTAAAAACTACATTCCTAGTGATTACATTTTGCAAAACTACTGTAAAAACATAGAAATTGTGAATGCAGAAAGAAAAATACATAAAATAATGAAAGTTAGATGAAAAAAAAAATATATATATAATATGCATACATAAATAAATAAAAAATATGTTTACGTTTTATATATTTTCATTAATCACATTTACTTTATAATCTCTGTTTATTTTATTTACATTCTTATTTATTTTACTTTAAAATAAACATTACAATTAATTTTTAGAGAAATCTATTTTTTTGTTCAAAAAATTTATAATTTATATTTATCTTGCTTTATTTTGAACATCTATATTTTGCGATATTTTCTTTATCAATCTTTTCACTGATAAATATATTTTGAAGCATACGAATATGAGTTGCGAATGTCAAATCGCGAATATTCGAAATATGCAAATAAAAAACACAAAAATATAGAATTTCCTATTACATGTGCTAGTTCGGTCGGAATTCAATAAAACCCCGCGGGATGCTCCGAGATTAATATATTACTATCGTCAATGCTCACGATTTTCAACGACACGTCACTTGCATGTATTCTCATTTGTGCGTGTATCTTTCCGACTCGCATACCAGCATCGTATATATCAAATGTGACTGCCACTTCAGGAGACACGCGCGCGACACGCGTAAGTTCCTTGGTAGAAATTCCATTTTCCCACGCATTTCGGCGACACTACTGTACTACACACATGTGCGTGATGTTTCCCGGCGTAACGAGGGAAATGGAGGGTCCGAGCACATTGTCCCCGGAGGCGAGTCTCTGACTTTTGCGGGGGTGCCATACCGCGAGTGCCTTTATCGTGCGACGTGCGTTCCGCTCATGCAGACGGGAAATTCCGGCCGAGTTCGTTGTCATGCGACGAGACAAATAGGCAGAGACGCGACGTGTAGATACGACCCGCGCAGGAACACCGTTAAATACCATCTGCGAAGTCAATTGCGAGCCGTGATAGGGTTTACCGATGTGCTAGATAGTTCTCGATAGGTCAGTCGTGCCTCGTGAGAGACGCGAGACCGCGATCTACGGCGAATATCGGGTACAAAAATGCAATAATCAAGCTCATTAAAATAGATTAACCACCACGTATTTGATACCGATTTCAAGACGCGAATGCGATTTGAGCGTAGAAATAAATTTGAAATGTCGGAGATAGGTTTTAGATCTTCTTCTCGAATTGATTGTGAACATTTTTTTCGACGAAATCGTTACTGTTATTATCACGAGACTGTGATAGATTTAGTAAGATAGATTTATTCAATCTATCTAGCTTGTTATCGTACATGTGTGCAGTTTAATATTATCAAAAAGGTAGTTTACGAGAGGCTTTCGCACAACATAAACCAGTGATGTCGGTGCCATCATTCTAGCCAGTTTGATACGCAACTATAATCTTCGGGGCTCGGAGGTCATCTTCTTGATCTCATATAAAATCGCGCGAAGAATTTCCCAGGCGTCGAAATCCCTCGCGATGTAACCAGCACATGGATATTCTTTATCCGATCAATTATTATCTTTTTCATT